CCCCAAACCCTATACCCTAACCCCTACCTGGAGCGTCCAATGGACTCCCTTTTGACTTGGGGCACCCCGGAAACTGGTCAAACCAAAAAAAAAACATACGCAGGCACAAGGCCAACAGAAAACCAGTTCTTGAAGATACATAGGCAACATCATGGGATTCTTAAGAACTGTACGTCGTAGCAAGCAGCATGTACTGTTAGAAAGGCTCGTCGTGCAAAGAGGCCCCTCAAAATCAAGATACTTTAGAATCTCTCCGGCTGTGTGCATGTCAGCAAGGCATGTGCCTGTCATGGATGCAAGCATGTGGTGTACTTGAGTGAATTCAGATGCCGCATACAACATGCACCTGTGCAAGAGCTGTGTCTGTGGATGAGCATGGTCATGCACGCATGTGGCGGCCACGTGGCATGGCGCCATTGGTGGAAGGACGGTCCGGGACCCGGCCGAAGCTGTGGGTGAAGGTGACATGCAGGATTTGCATGCTATCGGAGGTTTTTGGCTTTGGCTGAAAGATTGATTGAGTAGTGGAAGCTGCCATGGCAGCCAGGGATAAGGATGCCGCTCTGGCGACGGTTCCAGCCTTCCTCCGAAAGCTTGGGGATGAAGCCATCTTCGATGCCCGGCGTCTTGTGAAGGACTGCCTTGGCATTTGTGCGTGTAGTGAATAGAACCCCGAGGGCGGGTCTGGGGATGGGGCAGGGGACCTGCATCTGTGTGGGTAGCATTGCAGCAGTGGACACATGTGTGCCAGGACGTTCGCTCGCATCCTGCGTGCGTGGCCAGGGCCAGGACGGGCTCGGTCGTCGCCTACCCGCTAAGGGAAGGGGTTATCAATGAGAAGACGTTGAAGTGCAACCACGATCTTCTTTCCCAGTATGCCTGGTTCGTCAAGAAGTACCCAGCGCTTCACAAGTCCGTTGCTCTGCACAGGGCTGTCTTGAGTGATTGTGCTAAGTACTGGAAGAGCCGTGAAGGCGAGAATGCCTTTGAGTATACGAAGTGGAAGCCCGATGGCAAGGCCATCAAGTCATTGACTTTGTGCCTTCGCCGGCTTCGCTACCGATCCAAGAACCAGAGGGACATGGATATCAGTTTGCTAGCTGATTCTTGGTTGGCTACGAGATAACATGAACGACTCTTCACTCCTACATATATAGCCTCAAGCAGGTTACTCATGCACTGATTCGGTGGATGAGTTATGGGTGTGTAGTGTGGTGCATGTATGCATGTGCCCCAACGACGTGTTTTGAATGATTCAACATGAAACACCCAATCATGCATGCCTTTATTCATTCGTTCATTTATACATGCATGAATTCATCACCCAATTCTGCTTGTTTTTTTGTACTGTCCATGAAGTTATTCATGTGCATGTGTGCTAATTCATGTTGGGCAAACTGGTGCATGTGAAACCTTATCAGAATGCATCAGAACAATCTTTCAGGCACCTGAGTATGTATATATATATATACATACATACACATACATACATACACATATACACACACACACATAGAAACATACATGTGCACACAGACACACCCTTGCAATGAACACACACACACACACGCGCGATGACCATGTGCCCAAGGATAGAGCTATGTGCATATATATATATATGTATATGTAGATAGGCATATGTAGCTATGCATGCTAGTCTACGCATGTCTGCATGTGTATCATGTCTGATCTGAACCCGGCTTAGGATGAGATGTTTGGGACCCCAGACCGTGAGGAAGAGGATGAGGCGGCTTCAGAGCCCGAAGACGACGAGGCTGTGGATGAGGGTCTAGAGCCTTCGGAGGGCGAGGCCTCAGATGCAGCTGTCGACGCCAATCCCTCGGACGTGCAGGCTGATGCAGCTATCGACCCCAGTCCCTCAGACGTGCCTGATGCAGCTATCGACCCCAGTCCCTTATTGGAAGTGCCAGCTGCTGTGGTGGAAGTGCCAGCTGCTGTGGTGTTGGACCCCGTGGAGTTTGCTGCTCAGCGCTCACCTGCCGCGGTGGCAGAGGTTGTCTCGAGCCCTGAGGTGGCTGAGACCAAGGGGTTCTCGGCAAAGGAGCAGCTGCAAGAGCGGTTGCGAGAGCTGAAACAGAGGATGGCGCTCAAGCGCGAGGACACCCAGCTAGTGCCGTCGGATGTCTTGGATCAGGCTGCTGAGAGGCTGCGGGCTCTCCCATCCTCTGAGGTGAGCGATGAATGAAAAGTGCAAGTTTATTTTGTTTGTGTTTCATAGACAACCAAACCCTGCTGAGAGGCACTTTCCATTTGCTCCCAGACGTCCTTCCAGTGTGCCTTGCACCGTGGTGCTCAGCTTGCCTCTGTCTCCGGGGCGAGTGGGCCATCTGAGACTGGTGTGTGGCTGGGCCACCAAACGGGTTTTGAATCCATGTGCAGAAGGGTGCCGGGTTATGAGGCATGTGAACTAAAGCTGTTGTGCTATCATACTAGAGGATTGTATGTGATTGCAAACACGACGCTAACGGAAAGCCGTGGTGTAGTATAGTCCCCCAAGCAGTCTCGTGTCACATGGACAAGCAGGGCATGCAGCATGCATGGAGTTTGACTGGTTCAGAAAACATTCCTAGGAATCATCCTTTACAAGGGCCACCACCAAACAACCCATTGCATTCGTACATCTTCACTTACTTGTCCATTGAAGTGCGGTTTCCTCCGAGAGGTTGCAGCCCTCCCACGACAAGATGCTGGGTGTCGTCGCTGTCGAGGAGTCGGTTGAGCGGAGCAAGCTGTTCCGCAGGCCATCGGCAAGTGACTTGGAAGTGCTTCGATGCAACTTGGCGGACAAGTTTGAAGCACTGGCTACCGAGGAAACCTGCGACTCAGGGCCTGTGAAGGCATCCCGCAGGGAGTTGCAAGAGCTTGCCAGACCACTGGCAGGCTCGAAGACGGACTCCATGTTGGTGGCGGCTGAGCTTGTTGGGGCCTCTGCAGAGCCTTCCGTGGTCTCCTACAAGGATTCAACCCTACAGCCTCCTCAGAAGGATCCCGCACTAGAGCCTGGCACATGTCTGCTGTCCAAGAGGAATTCCACCCCGGAATCAGAAAGGCTAAGAACCCAGAGGTTGCTTTGATTGCCACTTCCACCCCAGAGCCTTCCCAGAAGGATCCCTCCCAAGAGCCGTCCGACAGGGATGCAGCAGGTTCTGCAGGAGACATTCCAGATGTTCCCCTTACCTTTACTCGGGTGCAGCAGCGGAACTTGCGGAAGCAGAAGGTGGCAGCTCAGCGGAAGCGCAAGCATGGTGAGTGCGAGGATGCTGAGGATGAGAGTGAGAAGGATGGAGAGGCATCGCAGCCGGCAGAGCCACGCGGACGTGGCCGTGGGGGTCGCGGTCGCGGACGCGGCCGCGATGAGGGTCAGAAGGATGAAGAGCCGTCACAGCCGGCAAAGCCACGTGGACGTGGCCGTGGGGGTCGCGGTCGCGGCCGCGATGAGGATGAGCGTGAGAATGCAGAGCCCTCACAGCCGGCAGAGCCACGTGGACGTGGACGTGGGGGTCGCGGCCGCGGTGGGGCCCTGATCAAGGATGATGAGGTCAAGCGGGCTCGCAGCCGTAGCCCGGTTGTGATGAAGCGGCCAGCTGCAAAGGCTGGGGTGGCAAAGAAAGCGGTGGAGCCCCAGAACAAGTCGAAGGCTGTCAGTGCCGTTCCAGCTGCCAGCGAGGCAGAGGAGGCCGACAGCGGTGCATTGATGCAGGACAAGTTGAAGGCTGTCTTGGAGGGCCTGCCTCGGCTCAGGGCTGAGACTGCTGATGTGGTCAGAAGTCATGCCGACTTCAACTCGCGAGACATTCTCCCCATCCCGAATGAGCGGCGAGGCCCTTTGAAAGCGACTACTGGCTGCACAGAGCTATTGCATGTGTAAGGTACTTGAGTACTTAGCACGGTGTTCCACAAGCCTTTCAGTTGATGGAGCTCTGTGGCCCAGGACCTTTGACAATTGCGCGAACTTTAAGCTCGAGCCCTACTGGACCCGCTCCCATTGTGGCATTCGCTATGTACCCTTGCAAAAGCACATCCTGGTCGTCACGTATGCTGCTATGACCGTGAACATCGCCTACTGCAATCATGTCGCAGCTTGACTTGGCTGTTGTTCATGTGTCTAGATGTGTATTAGACTATGCACATGTACATTAATATGGGTGTGTTTCCTAGTCTTTTCATGTGTGATCTTTTACATTGGAGACGATTTCCTCTTTAGCATTCAGTCACTCTGGTACTGGAAATATCACCCCTACAAACTATGGCAGCCCTGTAGTAGGTATAAACCTACCGCGGCCCTACAACCCCAATAACCCGTTGCCCTATTGCAGCCGTAAATAGGCTTAAAGCCTATATATTGAAACCGCTACAAGCCCCATGTGGCTTGGCTTGAGGTGACAATTCTTAAGGTTTATCAGTGGTGGCTGGGTTCGAACTCCTTATGACAATACCACCTAACCAAACCTTAAAACACTATAAAACGATTTAATAGCCACAATAAGTGACTACAGACCCCTAGATATAACTTTAGATAATCCACAGGCATCTTAGCTAGTTGAAGCCCTAGAGGACCCTACGAACCCATTCGGCGGTCTATCAGCTTTACAGGGGGGGGGGGGGGGGGCCCAGGATGTCACAGGGATCTCGGGATCCGATTGCATCCGAAGATATCTAGAGCAGCCTTATGTGTTTTTATTGTGTGTTTACCCTAACCCATGGACCCACGCCGATCTAATCCATATATACGTGAAAAAAACCAATGCCCAATACTTGCAACCCCATAGCACGTGATAGAAACCGAATTAGGCCCCACATAAGCCCTATTGTTGTATTTAGTTGTAAGAACAACTTCCGCCGGTTCTTTTGTATCCCGGCCCATGCTCATATGTCCCAGGTGAAGGAGCTGCGACGCCGGCTCCTGACTGTCAGCCAGAGGGAAGGCTGAAATGCCTTCTGGTTTTTGAGCTGGGATCATGCTTGTTACAGCCCATCAGAACATTAGTTCCCTAGCCAGTCCGCTCAAGATGTATGTCCATGCACATAATGGGCTTGTGCAAGTGATGGCCTTTCTAGGAAAGGCCTCGGGTAGAACACGTCACTTCGTGATGTGCTTGAGAAGCAGTTTCAAGGGGAATCCGTGGCGAGGCGATCGCATGGGAAAGTGCTGCTTTGAACTTGTTTCGATTGATTCAGTATTCGGGATTGAGGGGGGGGGTACATTCACTTCGTGTCTGTAGTCTGTAGTCTTTGCAAGTCAGTTGCACAGATTGGCTTCCGGTTCATATGGTGAACAGGGTCGTGACTTTGACGGGGCTTGAAAGCGCGAACCTAAACCCTACAAAGCCCTTGTGAACCCTGTAAGCCCCAATAGCTCTAGAGAAATGCTATAAACCCAAGCGCTATAGATACCCTAGAAACCTCGGCTATGAAACATTGGCATCGAGACAGCCCTGGCTTGTGCGGGTTGTATGATACTTTACAGGACAGGGTGGTTCTGAGTATGACGACCGCTAGGAGCACGAGCACTATGTAGATACGGTCGTAGTATCGGAGCTGTTGTGCTAGTACACCACCACACCAATACAACGACCATTACCCATGAACCTGAAGCCCGAATGTTTCGCATGCCCCAATATCGATCGGTGCTAGGAGCCCTCAGTCTAGCTAGGGGCCCGTACATAGCAGGCCTTCTATGGGTGTTATCATTAGCCAAGTCGTTTGGAGCAGAAAAGCAAGTCCAACATCACTCTTTCAGTATGTGCAATCTGAAGCAATAGTAATCCTCCTTGTAGTCGCACGACTACTGGTACTGGAAGTGATGCTGCACATGGATGTCGCTGCACTATGCACGGTTCTTGCATAGTTCAGATGTGCACTGTAACTATATAGCTACATGACATAGGACTCCTATGCTGAGGACGACGACATATAGCTAATACCACTACAAACCTGACTACTGCCGCTGCTACTACAACTACTCTATCTACACTCCGCCACCACAACGGCTATTCCTGCTGCTGCTGATGCTGCTGCAGCTGCT